TGTGCCTAAATAATATTAACCTTCTTTCCATTCAGCCAGATTTCAAATCGTTTTGTTGTTTATGTTGCTTTCTGCTTCTGAGTGCCTTCATTGTGTTTCCAAGAATAATGGAGTGACAACTAATTACAGTCTTCTGATCACATGAAGGAAAATAAAGAAAGTAGAAAGTAACTAAAAAGCTAAAAAAATTGGCAGCATCACAAGTTCTTCTTCTCCCTAAATGACAAACAGCACTTCCCCACTGTGCTACTAAAATCTATAGATCCTCTTAAAGACAAAAGAAAGTAAATTCCTTGCATATGCAGTATCTTTTGGCAAAAATGAATTGAAAACTGCTTATCAGGCCAGCTGGATAGAGGATGCTCACCCAATCTTCTATCGGGCTTCCTCAGACCAAAGTATTTTTCAGCAAAGCAGCCAAATGAGAACGCTAACGCTTCAAGGAAAAACAATGATACATTGAGCGAGAAAAACCAACGCAGAGATCAGTGTCGCCTTCTCATTTGGCTGCGGACACACAGAGAGGGACTAACAAACACCATATGCTTTACCTGATTCTGAACCGCAGGCAATAAACGCGAGTTTGCAAGCGCGGCCATTTCGGACAAAGACGAGGGGTCCCTCTCTAGGAGTTTCTTCACCATTTGTAAAGTTAAACCTGAAGGAGGGGTGCGGCAGCCCAGCTCCCCGTGCTACTGACCGCTCCGAGAGCGGCTCTCTGCGAGCGCAGCACCGTTTGCAGGGGCTGTGCTGCACTGACGCTATATTTAGACCACAGGTTAGGAGCAAACCATCTCAGAGCAGCTCATAAGCAGGCAGCTTTACTGCGAGCAGCAGCAACACCTGAACGGAAGGATGGACAACTACCTCACGCTCTCCCATTTTTCAGCTGTGCTGTTTTCACACGCCGCGCAAAATTGAGCGGCCAAACCTAGCTGCAAACACGGAATAGGAGCCACGTAAATTCCCATTTCTCCAGCAGACTAAAGAGATCAGACTCTTCCCAAGCAGTGCAACAAAAAGAGCTGTATTTATCAGGGAGCTACAGTTCCCTGCCCATCATGCCTTGAACAGCTGTAGTTGAGCGAGCTGGTTTCTGACAGACAGCCAAGACGTGTAATCTGAATCACACCACCCCACTGCTTATTCAGTGCCGATAGCTGATGCTACCCTCATCTCGCTCGCTGGCTCGCTTTTTTTTTTTTAACGTTTTGACACTGGTCCTGAAAAGGAAGGATTTAAGTTAAACCTTTTTCAATAACGCAAATGTGTTTTTGCAATTAAAGCCACACAATTAGCATTGACAAGCTCAGGTCAGCAGAACATAGATTGTGCTGTTCAAATGCTCTGCCACTCGGTGCCTCCACTAAAAAGCTGCAGGAGAGGCGAGGAGAGGAGAGGAGAGGAGAGGAGAGGAGAGGAGAAAAAAAATCTCCACACATTATTTAACAACTTGTGCTCCGATGCACCGCACCACTTGTGGATTTGTGGAGGGAGATTCATTTATTTATTTACTTAAAATCCCTTTGGCTCTGGCCTCCTCCACTGGTTCTATTCCTTCAAGACAACAAGAACTATTCTTCAGAGCAAGAAGGCTGGTAACATTTAGCAGAATTAATTTCTCAAAAAAGTCTTAAACAAATTAAAAAAGGCTCAAAATCCTTGCCTTAAAAATGTTTCCCTTCATTCTTCACAAAAAAATGTATTTGCTTAAGATCTCCCTCACTCAGCCACTCTTGCTGCCTAGACACAATCTCCGATTTCTCTGTCCACGCGATGACACAGTGGTTAATTTTAATATTGCTGTTTTTAAAGGTATAAACAGTGTGTGCATGTATAGATCACAAAACCAGAAAGCTAACTGTAGAAGCTAAAAGAATTTCTCTCTTGGTAATTTTTACTCAGCTGTACTTAGTTCTGTTTTCTCAGAAATCCCTTTATTTCATTAATATGAACATTTACACCTACAGATCTTCAATATTAACATGACTCCCTTCTCTCTGTAAATAGACAGAAATAGCCATATATTCTAAAAACAAAAGTGGCATCACAGGAAAATGTAAGCAAACAGATCACTTTACGAGCACGACTGAGGACAATCACATAGTAAGTGCAGTGCTAATTTTGGAGGTGAGATCCTGATCCCATTTCTACATCATCTCTCAAGAAAATCTAGGTTTCATTGCCATAAATTATGAACTCTGCAGCTAAAGCTTTCTGTTTGTATCTAAGTGCCACATACGTGTTTATGGCATCATTTAACTGACAACAGTACTTTAAAATTAATCTGCACAATCTGATTCAAATATTCCTGTGTCTGCATCACTCAATTGCTTTCAATGGTTATGAGAGATAAGGGCTCTGACTTTAGAAATAACGTGTGATACAATGTGGTAGAATTTCATATAAAGCTGAGTTCAAGTAGATGTTTATACCTAACTCCAAAACACTGTATTTATATTTGTTTCCAGCTCAATGTGAAGTAAGCAGCACTGGAAATCCCCAGGACAGCAACAGCATGTTCCGTTGCCATTCTGTATGTCAGGTTTATTCCTTCTGCAGGACAACAGGATTCCCGTAAGACACTGGGAATTCCCAGCATGGAATTCCCAATTCAGGAAATTCATGCACCTTGCAAAATGCTAACACGGGGATTCTTAAAAACAAAAAAGGGGGGTGGGGTGGGGAAGAAAGTTAAATATCTATCCTGTGTCCCTTGTGCTTAGTGATATTTTCATTGCTTCAGGGCAGAAAGTCAACAATCCCCTCCTGCTAGCACTAACAGCATATATATACGTACGTATATTTACATGCACATATACACGCACACAATTACACACAGACACACACACCCCCGCCAAGGCATTTGTGATACAAAAATAAGCCATTTGTTGAGTTTCAGCTGTGGACTTGTACCCAGCTGAAAATCTTTTTAAAGCCAGTTTAATTTGAACTGTGCTTCCTTATTTGTTTTTATAATTCAAACGAAAAGCAGCACGCATCCTTCAGCACACTTTATTCTACAGGCAACATAAAAAAAAAAAAAAAAAAAAGAAACCCGTGACCTGTAGTTTCAGTTGCACCAAGGAGAAATTTGTGTGGAATATATAATGAAAATGCAGATATATAGATCACATTTCTTACCGTGTCCCCAGGCTTGACAGAAACTGCCACCACTGCCCCAGGCATGGGAGATCTCAAAATGCTGGAGGTGTCCTCTGCTGCTTTCTCTGGCATGTACTTACTCAGCTCCGCAGCAACCTTCGTCAGTATTTGTAATTTGTACTAAAGAATAGGAAGAGGCATGTTTTAGAAAACTGCACCTTGGCGAATTCCAGTCAATAATCTCCACTATTTTATGGCATGTTTTTCTACAATACATCTGTTATCTATTCTTAACAGGAGTGTCT